GGGAGGGGGGAGAGCAGCAAGCCATCGCCCCGGAGTTCTGGTCAGGACGCTCCCGGGGAGAGGCCCAGGGAGCGGCGGCATCAGCTCCTCCCTGCCTCCCCCCCTGGAGGACTCCCCGACACCTGGGGCCTGCAGCCGCCGCGGACGGTGATTCTGCCGGCGGAGCTCGGGCAGGTCCGGGACATGCTGCCCTCGCCCACGGACGAGCTGGTGCTGGCCGTGTCGACGGGCACTCAGGATCGTTCAACCTGCCCCCGTCCTCACGGGGCCGCGGTAATTATCTCAGCCCGCCCGCCCACAAGCCCCGTTGGGGACAGGCCTTTCGAAACTCGAGGGGGACAGCCTGTATCCCCATCTGGGGGAGTAACCCGGCCAGTGGGGCCCACGCCAGTGGGGCCAGGGATCGGTTCAACGATGCTCAGGTACGCTCGGGCTCCATCTGCTAACTCTAGAGGCGCGCGGCAGCGGGCCTCAGAAAAAGCTGTCCATCAAGGACACGCGCCTCGTGGCCCAGGCGCCCTTCGGCCCAGGCGGCATTCTGGACATGGCCTGGTCCTACGACGGGCGCTGGCTCGCGTACACGCGGCAGGAGTCGCAGGACTGCATGGGCCCCACGGGCATCTGGGTCTACGACACGAAGGCCAGCGGCGCAGCGCCGCGGTGCCTCACGTGCCGCCGCTTCGAGGAGTGCTCGGTCTCGTTCGATCCCGGCGGGGAGTACCTGGCCTTCCTCTCCAGGAGGGTGTTCCGCACGGTGCGGGACGACCTCACGTCGTCGACGGGCTTCAGCCGAGACGCGTACAGGCCGTACCTGCTGCTGCTCCGCAAGGACTCGCGGAACCCGCTCCAGCGGTGGCCACGGGCGCCTGCCGACGACGGCGAGCAGGACGCGGACGAGGAGGACCGAAGACAAACACATGCACAAACACAAATCTTTTGGAGCTCCGCGCGGATTTCTCGGATGGCCACTCGGGCCTCCCTTCAGAGGAGCAAGAAAGAGGTCATGAGGATGATACTTTCCCAGGTGTTCAAAGGCTTCTCAGATGCCCCAGATTCCCTGGTGTTGCGCACGGGCTCCGGAAACGAGGGCCGCCAGGTACTCTTGGAAATCCTGGAACGTATCCTGAGCCAATCTTTTCGGGACATCCTGATCGTCCTACCCCCAGTGGCTGGTGGCGCCTCTGGCGCCGCCCGTGGCGCGCTCCGCGCGCCAGAGAAAGAGAGGATCGAGCGCCGCTCTGAAAAATCCGAGCGGAGCTCCGACAGCCCATGTCCACCCAGATCCCCGACGTCGTGATTTTGTTCACAACGTCGACCCCCAGAGGTCTGCACCCCTTCCCAGGGTCCGGTGTTTCATCCTGAGTCGTTTTGTTGACGGTCCCGAGGCCCAGAGAGGGCCCCGGGAGGCCGACAGAAGCGAAAAACCTCCGTCGTGTTTTTTTCACAGCGCGAGGGGGTCTGGGTGTCTTCTTCCTCTCCCGAAAGGGGGCCGACGAGGAGGAGGGCGGCGCGGCGCCGGGCGAGGAGACGCCCCCCGTGGAGGTGGAGATAGACGTCGACGGCGCGGCCCGGCGCGTGGTGCAGGTGCCCGTGCCTGCGGGCAGCTACCACCGCGTGGTGGCGAGTCGGGGCTGGCGTGTCTGCGGGAGGACGCCGGTAAGCCTCGGGCCGATGACGAGGATCCAGGCCTCCTATATTTGGACGCCCGAGATGGGCACGGAAAGAATGGGTACGATGCCCAACAGCAGTTCCTGTTCATTCTGAACAGGATTCGCTGTCCACGCCGCCGCGGCCTGTGTCCATTCGAGACAGAAGGCCGCCTGTCCAACAGCGGCCGCTGTTGGTTTGGGACAACATTTGTTGTTGGGCATTGTACCCATTCTTTCGGTACCCATTTCGGGTGTCCAAACTATAGATGGGGCCCGAAGGTCCCCTTTCAAAGGGTCGGGGGTCCTTGCTTGGTTGATCCGCAGGTGCCCGTGCCGGCGGGCAGCTACCACCGCGTGGTGGCCACCGAGTCGGGGCTGGCGTACCTGCGGGAGGACTTCGCAGGTCGGCGGCGAGCGAGGGGGGCAAGTGCGAAGGAGAAGGCCCTTCTAGGAAGGCGGCGGGCATTCTCGGAAGCCCTCGCGCCTTCTGAGAAGTGTTTTGTGCCTTCGGCCTTCGGGGAAGGCTTGGAAAGGGCGGAGGACTTCCGAGCCTTCTGAGAAGACCTTCTCCTTCTCACTTCTCCCCCGGGCTCGCCGCCCAGAAGAGGAAAACACGCCATAAACATAAACCTGTGGCGCTCCGCGTGGATCTCTTGGATCCGCGCCGGGCCCCCCCTCGGCGGCGCCTCCAGCGCCGCCCCTGGCGCGCCACGCGCGCCAGGGAGGGGGGTCCGGCGCAGATCCATCCAGGAAATCCGCGTGGAGCGCCACAAGGTTACGTTTATACCGATTGTTTTTCTTCAAGGACCCCGGGAAGCCTCGGGCCGACGACGAGGAGGAGGTCTGCGGCTCCGTCTACGTGTACACCTTCCAGTCGGCGTCCGAGCGGCGGGTGGCCAGCGGCATCACGGACTTCTCGGTATCGCTGGACGGTGCGAACCTGATGCTCGAGACGGAGGATCCATCCTTGCGGGCGGTCTCCCTGCAGGCGGCTGCCGAGGAGGATGAGGAGGAGAAGCCAGGCGACGCGGCTGGAGACGCCGACGGTAGGCTGCCAGGCTGCGCATCCAGCACGGGGGTCGTGGATCTGGACTCCAGGATCTCGCTCGAGGTGGCCCCGGCGGAGGAGTGGGCGCAGATCTTCCGCGAGGTCTGGGAGGCACTGCGCGCGCACCTCTTCGACGAGGCCATGGGCGGCGTCGACTGGCAGGAGGTGCGCGGCCGCTACGAGCCGCTCCTGCGCAGGCTGGGCTGCCGCGAGGAGCTGACGGACGTGCTGCAGGAGATGTGCAGCGAGCTGGGCGTGTCGCACCTCTCGGTCGGCGACCCGGAGCCCGAGGACCGCTGGGCCAGAGTCAAGAGGGGAAAAAACAGACAGACACAATTAATCGTCGATTCCCCAGAAAATGTGGGAAAATATGGGAAGTGGGGGGAAGACAGAAACCCAGGAAATATGGGAAAAGATGGGGCATCTTTATATCTGTGTGTATTTATCTGTGTGTCCTGGGGCCCCTTCAACTTTCCAGAGGGGACGGAGCTGCTGCGGGTGCGAATCCGAACTGAGGCCCGCGGCGAGGCAGAAAGACGTGCGACCTGCGCAGACGCGGCAAGCAAAAGGTGCAAGTGTGACGAGGTCCGGCCTGCGTACTCCCACGGAGAGGCGCCGAGGCCCAGGAACACTCCAGGGGGGGGCACGCGCAAGTGCGCGGAAGCACAGAGGCACGGACAGTCACGCGTTTTTTGGAGCTGGCCGCATCACATCTGTGTGTACTTGTTTTTTTGTATTATCTCTCTCTCTCTCTGTCATTCTCTCCCTCCCTCTCTCTCTATTCGTTTTTGTTGTTATTTCTCTCTCTCTCTCTATCTTTTTCTCTCTCTCTCTCTCTCTTCTCCTTATTCTCCTTATTCTTCTTCTCATTCTTCTACTTATGTGTAGTATTCTTCTTTCTTTATCTCTACAGATAAAAAACGCACTCAAACATACACACATTCACATGCGATCATCTAGTTTCATTCGGCCCATCTCGCCACCATGCCTGGCTGAGAAGCAGAAACATGTTGGATGCATTGCGGGGCTTCTTGGAGGTCTCTTTTGGGCCTCTTGAGCTTTGATGGGGGCTTCTCGGGGGCCACCGGGGGCTGCTTGGGGCCGTCTGGGTGCCTTTGAAGTCGAATTTGCAGTTCGAGTTCCCTCTCTTGGGCCACTCTTTGGGGCCTCTTCGGAGCCTCCTCGGCCCCAAGAAGCATGGGAGGCCCTCTTGGGCGAGTCGTCCCGGCCATCTGGGCGTTTCGCCAAGGAGGCTACCAACTACGGCCAGGACATTACGGAACACTGGCTGGTGTAAGGGACAAGTTGTTCCTTTTCGGTTGTGGTGGATCCGAGGACTTGCCATGACTGCATCAGAGCAGCCATGGACGACTGTGTGAAACGTATTCGAGACAGTATCGGATGTTGCGGCCGGCACGAACAAGACGTTGCAGTCCCCAGGTACGCATAGGATCGAACGGGTGAAACTGCAAATTGCGTCCCTCGGCGGAAAAATGGGCCGTATTGGACGCTCTGACGACCAAGAAGCTCTGTATGCGACACTGCTGGGCGAAACACCGACGGAGCGGTTTTCAATGATTTGGGCTTCTTGGGGCAGCTCCCAGGGTCTACATAGAGGGGCGAGAGGCCCCCAAGAGAGCCCCAGGACGGTCAATCCTCCGCGTTTTCGAGCGATGGTTGGAAGACTCGGGCGGGCAACGCCAGCAAGGGTTGGAATGGTGGAATGTCGGATTCAGGGGGAAGGGGAATGTTGGAATCGGTTTTGCCGGGCTTGGCCTCCCAGAGACTCGCGCTAGCAGCGCCAGAAACACCCAGGAGCGCCCAGAAATTCCAGCAAGTTGGTGGTTTGGGCCCATGGGGATGTTATAACCCTTTACGACACTCATGTCTGCACGAGCCTTGGAGCACTCCCCTGCGCGCTGTGGGCATGGAGGCGAATCTCTCGCCAAATGTCATTGAAATCTTTTCTCGGTGGGGCTGCCCGACCTCACGCCAGCGGGCTCTCTCACCAGCGAACACCCTGGGACGTCCAAAGGCCCAAGAGCGGCCACGAGGGGACCCGGTTTCCACGACGGCAGCCGGAAGCGCCCAGAGGTCCGGAAGAGACCTTTGGAGGCCCCGTGAAGCGCCCGAGACGCCTCCGAAGGTGTCACCACAAACATCAACGTTCAATCCAGTGCCCAGTGCCTTCGACCTCCCAGCTCTTCTTGCTAAGCTGCATTGCGCCAGAGGGCTCCAGTGAATACCAGGTTTCGTGAGGCAAGACGGAGGGAGCCTGCGACTGCCATTGAGAAACCAAGGGA